GAAAATCGATAATGAAATGTACACGACTACTGAACCTTAGAGCCTGAATACCTTGACTGTTCAATTTCCATGATAGTAAAACACATACGGAGGATGATATTAAAGTAGTGTATCTTGATTATTTATGAAACTAATTGAATCTTTACGTTCGTTAGTCTATATTGACATGTTCAAAATTTACACAATTAAACGGATTAGATATTTATATACAGAATTGACTAGTATCAAAGTACGAATACGCCGCAAAGAATAAATTTATTCAAAGATCACTTTTTTCGTACCTTTCAAGGTTGTTGAAAATATACAAATCAATAAATTAACGAATTCGTCACGTGTATTGCAACAAAAGTTGTGAAGAATCGCGGAAAAGGCACTGTTATGACATAATAATTTTTATGAGTTTACGAACCATTCATTTTGACTGCTTTGGCAATTCTGGTATTAAATTCGAAGGATAAACGATTTCAGTAGTTTGTCTATTTCATATTTTTTTCTCAGAGGCTTCCAGTTCAAATTCAAATTCCCGGAGCCTTTGCCAAACCACCTAAAAAAGGATTCAACCTTTATCTTGCTTTTTAACCTCTATGCCCCAAACAATCATAACATGAAAACTGCTTCGAATTTTAGTCGCATGAGCGGGGGAAGTTTTCGGAGTGCTGACTGCATCGCGATACGTAAAGCAATGCCGGGTACGGAGATCATTCAAGAAAACGCACCATCCTTCAACTCCCTTTACCTTATAAGTAGGTCACTGGTGTCTGAATAATATCGCTCGATTCCCCTCCTGTGCAGTAGAAATATGGGATTCCGCATCTTTTTTAAACCCGGTCGAACGTAAGCTTGGAAGTTGTAGGTGGTACAGGCACTACGGATCTCGAGAACTTATTGTTATCCCACGGATATGTAATGGAATATCTTGCATTGTGAATAATAGACGCCGCGAATAATTAACTTACTCGAGAATCACCTCGGGCGAAGAATTCAATTATATTTTTGGGGAATAAGGGAATTAAGATGTTACACTTGAGAATCACTGTGGATTACCGACAGTCCCTCCGCAAACTTTCCGAGAATAATCAGAACATTAGTAATACATTTGCAGAGTGAAAACAGTTCGTACATCTTTTTAGTCTAAACAGATTCAACAATAACATCATTCCTTTCTATTTAGATTGTTTTGATAGGTGAATTTATAGACATTAGATCATAATTGTGTAAAGTAACTTACAATTTGATTGCTAGTTACATTGGAGAGTTTTGTATATATAAGCAGTAATTATTCTTGTGTAATTATACGTGTATTAGAAAATCTCTTCGTTAAATTTAGGGTTGTGTATCATTTTAATCTGTACGTATGGTTATGGCAGCAGTTTCTGTCGTAGACAGATGAAGCTCCGATGACGTAACTTTTCGCGCTTTTTTTATCCATACCCGCGGCAATCTTTTCGGAAGAATATTATATGATTTGTAGAATATGAAGATAAACATGCAAATGCGCAGGGCTAATCAAAATTTGCAGTCGCGAGACTGCTCTGTTAGCCAGTTTCAAGGTAGCCCCGAGATAGTAAATAATTCTCTTCCGAAAGTTCCGAACTCGCCAAGGAACCTAGTAATTCTCGAATATCCATCATACATTATAAGTTACCGCGTGAAAATTCACGAAGCTTGATTAAAACTCCTGTTACTTTCGATATAAGCGAAACGGCTTTGTTAAGCAAACGCCGCCCGGAGAAAATTCCATTATACTTCGGAATAATAATCGATGTCACCGTGAGATTAATTGAAAAATCGCATAATGAATGGGCGCAAAAAAAAAACAAAGAGAAAAGGGGAACGTTTTCATGTTTCTTTCCGGGGTCGCTAATTCATCTCGTTTTAACGATAACGACGAAACGAAGATAATTAAAATGAATGAGAGTTACCTAACATTCGGAATTATAGTTGGGACAAGAATGAAGGTCCAAAGCAAAACGAACAGTGAATTAACAAAAGTTTTGATTACTGATCGTAATGATTACGTAACGGGGAGATATCTCGCAGATGGCCAGAACGTTTAAAGTACCTTAAACAAGCGAAACGATGGAAGAAGTATATGTACATAAAAATGGTAACTGTGAGTATTATCGGACGAAAAAAGATAAGAGTCAGGATTTGGCTGTGGAACAGAGAGTCCTGGGGAATAAATCTGCACTCTTTGGAGTTGAATCGAAAGGGTAAACACCTCGAGCTTTCAGAATCTCTGTAGGGCGGATAAGACCGGTGTTCTTTTTACCCCATCCAGTATTTTCCTTTTACTCCGTCCTCTTGTGCTTTCTCTGCAAACTGGCTCAAGATTTCCCAGTCTGTGTGTACAACGTGTACTACATGAATGATGTATACCCAGAGGCTGAAACGCTGTAATAAAACAGTAAGCACTGGTGTCGTCTTGGGGGAATACGGTATCTATTGCGCGCCGATTTCGTGAACGTTATGGTTCGATATCCTTCCAAGAATACTTTATCGCGTAGTTCGTGTGTGGTAAAATTGGTACGAATCGATGGTCAAAAACCAGTTGCGGACTCGTAAATTAATACAAATGAAAGGACACCTGGAAAATCGCTGTGTCAATCTGTCTGAATTGTCCCTAGCTAATCTGACTGATTTATACAGAGGTTCAAATACACCAAAAATTCCAATTTTTGTTTAAACTCCACAGGTTTGTTGGGGACCGTAATAGAAGCATCGGGCAATTTTTCATTTTTGCTGATATTCGGTTCTTTGGGGTGAAACTACAGAATTGGTTTATTTATTTATTTAGACAACAAATTCTTAACAATTTCATTATACAGTTTTATATAGCATAAGAAGCCATTAAATCTTTACTGTAACCGTTTTTTGATATCTAGTATAGTTTTCAAGATATACAGGAAAATAGGAAAACACGCATTAATCTGTAAGGGGTGATTTCACCCTAATGAACCGAATATCAGGAAAAACGAAAAATTTCCCGAACCTGAGTTTTTTTTTTAAATTTGAATTTTCGGCTACGGAAATTCCCTTGTTAGTTGAGCATAACATCGCAACAATAGTGTCTGACAATGTTGTTGTATGCCTATCGAGCATAATTCAACGGTGTGTACAACAGTTAAATTCTCCGAGGTATATATGCCATCGGGATTAAAATAATTACGATAAAGTAGGCGTCTTCTGGGTTTGGAACTTCACGAGCGAATAAAACGGACCGGGTCTCCGTTTCGGCTCGATGAAATTGCTTAACAGAATTCGATGGTATGAGAAGGGTCGTTTCACTGGAAATGGCACACGAGGTGGCGGTAACGAAACTGTTTCACATTTCTGTGTCCCCAAAGGATGGAGCTTTAAACCGTTCAGTGTTCGAAACGTTTCTGCTACTGAATATCATTTTTGTTCCTCCTTCTACAGTTTATGGTCCCGCTGCAAGTTTTCCCTGGATATTCTAGATATAGGCTGAGAATCGATAGATTGACATGCAACCGGAATGTAGATGCAGCAATGATGAACACTTTCGACGTCTTAATTTTATTATGGGTTTAAGATACTCGCTACACTATTTTCAGATACAAGACAGAAAATGTTTAATTGTAAGACAATTGACTTATGTTAAGATTCTATGTAAAATAATAAAGTTCATTACACTGTTCCATGCAAATAAAGTCGTGCGTTAAAATAGAGTGTTTTGAAATGTGCTATGAAAACAGATATGTACCTTCAAATTTTATCGGCTGCAGGTAAAGTGGTAACCATAATTTATACTTTAGTTACTTTGCTATAATGATCCAAGGGAATTTTATTTACCTTGGAATTTTATATTTGTATCTTAGGGTGATGCAGGTGGACTATTTTATAGTTGACGGTTACAAAGCAAAATTAATAAAGTACATCAGGTTTGACTACATATTATAGTTAGATTCTGGATGTAACGTTTAAAAGGGAAGCATAAATAAAATAAAGTATACGTGCATTTTGCTTTTGTTTAACGATTAAAGATAAAACTGTAAATAATTGAATACATTGTGTTTATCAGGAGTGGTTACAAGAAGTGATAAAAAGAACCTGCGTTGCTGTGTCAGGTGTCTTTACCTATAAAAAAAACTACAATAAGCAGCAGATAATTCACGAGGGAAACGACGTGAAAGGTCAACGTGTGTATAGATACTGGAAAATTGAAGCTAAAAGCAACGTAAACGCGCTGTCGAAGACTGTAGGTGTGTCACTTGCCCTAAGGCAACATGAAGAATTTATTTTGTGATCGATACCGAGCATGGCGTAAGAAATTTGCAGGTACATGCACATGCAATATTTTAATCGTATACGAAAACGTGTCCGAAACGAACACAAAGGTATATTCGATTTTAATATTCTTTTTTATTTATGACTTTTTTAATAGAAAACGATTCTTCGTTCGTTGTCAATATATCCTCAATATACTTTGCTTGCATTACGACGACTAATGCAATCGAAAAAGATAATTTGCTACATGCTTCTGTCCCTCGTTCAATAATCAATCCCAATTTATAATAATCCATTAAAACTATCTGTTTATTGTACAAAGTATTAACAGACCACTAATAAGGAAGAATAACGTCTGTTTACAAATGAACTAATTTACATATGAAATCGTAGTAATTTTGCATAAAATTACAATTTACCTTACGTCAGGAAGTAATACTTCTTTTTAAATACAATTTGGGACCGAAAATTCTCGCGGTATTGACACTTCACTTACTAAAATTGAAAATAAACAAAATATTGCAACGAACCGCGGTCACTGAACGAAAATTACATTGACTGTATTCATGTGCCTACATGCCATTCGATCTTGCGATCGATTTAGTCATTCTATGTTTTCAACGCGTGTATTTCGATAATCGAACTTGCGCGCGCAGCTTTTCAGTAACGGTTTCCCACCGGTCGCGTTCGAACCGTCTCTTAAGAAGTGTCTCGAAAATTGTGTATTTCATATGTAAATTCACTCTTACAAAAAGGTGTATGTGTAATTCACAGTTAAAGTGAACATTTCACCGGTCTCTCCGGTTGTCTTTACTGGAATTTTGGATTTATTCGCTTTCACTACCACCGCCAGCACGGTCTGAACTCGAATGCCGCGAACCGACATCACTGCCCGAAACTGATTTTCTGGATTCTGGAGTAGCAGACCTGAAACGAAGAAATCACGGTCCTTAATCTCTATTGAGGTGAACCAGATCATCAATTTCATTAAGTAAGTACGTCTACGCAAAGTGCATTCTTTTAATCGTTTCTGTAAGACTATAAAATGTGTGTGTTGGCGGGAGGGAGGGATGGAGGGGGAGGGCGAAAAATAACAATTCTTTGGACGAATAAGTAAAAAGTATTTTACCGTGCTGATCCACTGGGGCTACGGCTTCGAGAGCCACTTTTAGACCTTGAACCGGATCGCGAACGTGATCTGGATCTCGAAGCAGATTTGGATTTTGATCGACTCTTGCTTCTGGATCTACGCTGATCCGGTGAACCACTCCTTGACTTTGCTTTCCTAGAACCACTCGGGGACCTTGATCTTGATCCACTATGCCTGGATCCTGACCTTGATCTTGCCTGCGATTCACTTTTCCTCGAAGCACTGCGTGAACGTGACCGTGAACGTGACCGTGACCGACTCTGTCGTGACCCAGACCTCGATCTAGAGCCCGACCTTGACCGTGACCCACTCTTCGCTGAGGCCGACCTCGACCTAGACCGACTTCTTGATCGCGATACGCTTCTAGATTTCGATCCAGATCTAGACCGTGATCGTGATCGTGACTGTGATTGAGATCGTGATCGTGAACGCGAACTACTCCTGGAACGACTTCTGGATTTTGATCTGGAACGGGATCGTGACGCTCGTGAACCTTCAGAGTCGGATGCGATTCTTCTGCTTCCATGTGGACGACTGTCGTTCCCACTTTCACCCCTGGAAAGTAAAGTACAGATACGATCAATCTATTTAATATATCATTAATCAGATGATTTCTCTTGAAATCGTACTTACCCGCTAGCAATTTTAAGACCTCCAGAATCACTATCTGATTCACTCGTCGATATAGTCTCCTTCGATAAGGGCATCTTACCCTTTGTAGTCTCAGTAGTACTTTTTCGAGATCCTTTATCTTTTCTGAGAGTTCCTGTTTTCCTTCCACGTTTTGGCTTGGGTCGATCGCTTTCAGAACCTGAATATTAAAGTGTAGAATATTTTTCATTGTAGGAGACAAAAAAGTTCAACGTGCTTGAGGCAGCTTCCTTAATGAAAAGCTATAATTCTTACCACTATCTCCACTAGCCATTTCTTTCTTGCGCCTCCCTTTAGCCCTGCCTTTCTTCTCCTTACGTTCACCACTAGCTTTCCTTTTACGGCTTCTTTCCCTTGGAGCTTCCTCCCTTCCTTCGTCTCTCCCTGAACCACCACTGTCGCTGATGTACTGATCCGTGCGTACTTTCTTTCCTTTCTTTCCAGACTTTTCTGAAGGCATATCTCCAAACACCAATACATTCTTCGTCTTTTCAACGTATTCTTGTCGTTTCTGTAACATCTCTTCTTCTTTCTGTCTACGCATTTCTTCGAGTTTCCGTTGTTCCTCTGTTTGGCGCATTTTAAATGCTTGTCTATAACATATTTCAAAATTATTAATACATTCGACACATCTCACGTATTCTCTGGCTGCAGTAATGTTACTACCTTTCCTCCTCCTGTTTTCTTCTAAGCATCTTCTCTTCTTCGTCCAATCTCCTAGCACGGGCAACGTGATATTGCGCTTGTGATAATAAATCCTGGCACCTCCTGGCTTCCGCTTCCGCAAGCTGTTCCATTCTATCTCCGTGTGTCGACAAATATTGGAAATATTTATGCGAGAGTCCTAATTCATGAACGGCCTGTAGTACCGTAGTCAGAGTTGATTTTTCGTCTTTCAATATATATGTTGCTAGACGCTGAAGTACAAGTGCAATATTGTACAACAAAACAGTATCTTGTGGAGCTACCCTTCGTGCCTGCAATTAATAAAACTTATTAGCTTCTCCTTTCATCATGCACAGTACTGGAATGGAAGTGTACCGTTACTTACCTTTAACAACGTCAATTTTGCTTCCTTCAATTTACCAGCTTTGAAGTAAGCTCTACCAAGGTATTGCAGGACTTCAACGTGGTGATATTTATAAAATTTTCGAAGACAATTCTCATACTGTAAATTCATAATATTAATAAAATAGGTGACTATAATCAAATTAATTTATAATATTGAATACAATCGTTACCATCTGAATGGCGCTAACAAATTGTTTTTGCTCCACGTATATGTGCGCAATGTTTAACCAAACATCACAAAACTCTGCGGTCGCTTCTCGCACCTGGGCGAAAATATCTCTGGCTTCATTTACACAGCCTTTATGTGCTAATACCGCTCCAATCCCATTCGCTGCCCAAATATTTTTGGGATCATTTCGCAAGACCTAGAAATTTTATATACACAACACAGTTGTATATGCGAACACTCGATCATAAATTTTGAGGATCCACTATACTAATACCTGTTTGTACATGGCCAGGGCTCTATCTTGATGACGTTTCTCTCGATCTTTATCCTTTCCACTTTGATGTAGAGTTTGCAACCAAATGTTTCCCAAAGCGATCAACGAATAAGCATCCGTGCTTGTCGTTGGATTTTTCAGAATTCTTTCAAATTTCTTCTGGCCAGGACCCCATTCCATCTTGGCCAAATGCAAATTACCCAAAAGAGACCACGCATCTGGATGCTCATTGTTGATCCTCAAGGCGTCTTTAAACCAATCAGAGGCTTCGTAAATTTGTCCTTTGTCTCGTGCCATGCAGCCAAGTCGTAAATAACAATCTACGTAATTCGGATGCTCCTTCAGAATATCCTTGTACAACTTCTCCGCTTTATCAAAGATACACAAAGCTTCGTTCAGTCGTGCTAAATTATAAGTTGTTGTAACCGCGATAGAGTTGTAGTATACAGAGTCGTGTAAGGCATCAGCTTTGGAGCGCGCCAGAGATTCCTCCAAATTTTTTCTAGCTTCCTCTAAATTTCCAAGTCTGAAGTACGAACATATTTAATTGAAAGACAAACTACAAAGTTAAATAAAAACTGGGTTACACACCTATAATGTAGGGCTCCAACATTGTTTAGAATTTCAGGTGGTATATCTGCTTGAACTTTTTCCTTTAATATTCTAGTTGCAGTACCGTATGCATTTAAGGCTGCAGTAAGGTCACTTTGTTCTAATATTTGGGCCAGCTCAATCCATGCTTCCACGTCATCAGGAAACTGTTCTGTTACTTTACGAAGATGATTTTTGGCTATATCGCGTTTCGACTGAGAACTTGAATTTGCATACAACGATCCAAGAATTTTCATTGTTTCGTAGTTGCCTGGTTGGGCTTTCAACACTTTTTCAAAACATTGTGCTGCCTGTGACAAAAATACTTTTGAACATTTGTTTTACTATGTATTCTTATCGTGAAAAAAACAATATGTTACACTTACATTTTCGGCATCACCTCTATAAACATACATCTGACCTAACCCAAAGTGAGGCAATACAAAAACTGGTGGTGCAAACTGAGTTGCTTGATAATAATATTGAAATGCTTGATCATAATCACCCTAAAATAGTTCCAATTATTCATAAAAACGAAATTATTTATAATATTATTTTTAAAAAAAGAAGAAAATTACCTGTACATGAAATGCTCTAGCTAACTGATAACAACTCTCTGCACGCATAGCTTCATTTTCAGTATTGTGAAAGGCGTGAAGCGCCAAATGTTGCACTTTGTTATAATCTTTTTTAAAGAAGAAATGATTTGCCAAGTGGTTTAATACCATAGGATTTGTAGAGTCAATTGTGTAAGCTTTTGATAACATCTGTACTCCAGTCCTAATGCTATCAGGCTGTTGTTGATTCAGTTTCAGGACTGAAAGACCAACCAATGCTCCTACACATTGGCCATCCAGTTGTAAAGCTCTTTCAAAGGCTAGACGTGCTTTTTCTTGATTATTTAACTTCATAAAACAATGTCCCATTCCTAGTCTCACAGCAGCAGGGCAGTTAGGATTTGTCCTTAAAGCTTTTTTGTAGAAGGCAAGTGCACCACGGTAATCCTTTTTGTTGAATGCAATACATGCTTTACCAAGTAGAGAAGGGATATTATTTGGAGATTGATTTAGTACAAAATTGAATTGGGCATCAGCTTGATCCATTTTGTCTCCTTCCAAGAGGCAAAAGTAAGCTCGGCCGAGTAAATGATTCTTTAACATAAATGACATTCATGTAGAAACTATAAATATTTTTGAATACCTATTGTAATGATATGAACATGTACCTGGTCATACATAATGATCTTATCAGCAGTTGTGTACAATAATGTAGCTTTTGTAAATAGATCTCTCTTTTTGTCCTTATTTTTCTCCCTGTTGGCTTCTTGGACATAATATGCAGCCAACATGTCCAACGCACGCATTTGATCTTTTTCATAGTCACGGTAATCAATATTTGCATCAATACGAGAAGATTCAAGTATCTTAATGAAATCTTCAATTTTATGTTGTTTATAATATTCAAGCTGTAATGAAAATCAAGATATGTGATATTTTGTGACTTTCTTACTGTGACTATTATAACTACATTTCAAATACATACGGCCAAATTGACCCAGATATTAAGTTGCGCATGTTCTTGGCGTAAAATTCCAAGAACTTCATCTCCTTCTGGTAACTGATCGAGGTAGAGTTCTATTACCTAATAGAATGCAATGTACAAATTAAAAAGAATATAGACACAAGGTGTAGAAGTACAATGGCATGGTCAGGCATTTAATTAGACAAACAGTAGGTAAAATCCAATTTATTGAAAAACTTCAATTAACAAATGGCTAGTAACCGATATTTTACTGTGTATGTTACAAGTAAGACACATACTAAAAACAACATGAACATAGTAATGTCAACGAAAACGACTAAAATTAATGTGATCATAGCAAACGAAATAAAAACCATTGAAATTGTCGTACTACAAAATAAATTTATGTATACGTATTTCAATAACAGTGTGTACAGCTACATAATATGTATGTATAACGTTTTTTCGCATAAGCATTCCACATCGAGAGGTTAGGATCACTAAAACGTCTTCTTATCACGATTGCCGGAAATATTTCAAGTTGCACTTAACGGAGGTATAACAGGACTCATACTACTTTTTCCTAATGCCTTAAAAATAAGAAATTTAAGGGTTAGAAACAATAATATTCACCTCGTCTGTGTCACGAAGCGGAATCTCTATGGAACCCGCCATTGCGGCATCGTCACTGATTTTCACGATGCGTGATGCGTGGCCAACAGATGTCCCATTAAATAAATGGTAAACATGCTGGAAAACGCGGTTGTTTTGAAAAGTATAAAATCAACAATGTTCACAGTAAGAAATATTACTGGATAAATGCTACTGACCAAATTCGGATTGGTCGAAAATGACGAAAGTTACCCTTATTGGCAGGATTGTATTTTGTCCGTGCGGAACTTGCACCTTTGACTCAAGTCATTTTCGCCTAGTTAAAGAATACACAGGTTTCCAAGAATTCAAAGCGTTAAGGATATTAAAACAAATTCTCGAAATTAAGGAATATCACTTTTGTCTTTTCCGTTAAAACTAAAATCGTACATCTGCAAGGAAAAATCGAATGACCAGTCTATTGAAATTTTATAACAAGTGACGTTGCCTGGAAAGTCGTTTTGCACCACAACAATTATGCTTATAAAAATACCTCAATGTTAAAAAACTATCAGAAAATGAAACGAAGAAACATTTATTTTGTTTAATGTTTCACGCAGCGGTATCCCCATAATATGGGAAATAAAATACATTGATTATCTCCTTCGTTTATTACTTTATTTGAAAAAAATATACGCAATACATGAAGTAACATTTCGATACTTGTATGGACGATGTAATATAAATGCCGGCATAAAATATTCGCGAACGAAAACAATTTAAAAATAATCGTAAAAACTAATCTTCGATTCATAATGATTATTTTCACAACGTTAAACGAGTGAATGTTCGTTTTTTGAATGTAGTAACCACAAGTATTAATATTCTTACAATTTATAAACTATTTTGAGCAACAAGGATATAGAATCCTTATATCTCGATAAATATTTAAATTAACAACGAAGATCCCGCCTATGCTACTCCGATCGATATTAAAACGGTTAAATTCTTAGAAAAACGTTTTGATTAATGAGAACACAGTAACGTGTATTAAAAACTTAATCGACGAGGATATCTATTTATACATAATTACTATGTCACATCGTGTAAATGGAATGTTGTTTCGCAGTTATCGGTTTTAAAATTTCGTGTAAAACTTTAACAGCAGCTGATTGCCGGAATATTTAAGTTTCCCGATCGTTTTTGTGTGTTTTCGTCACGGTGCTTCAGTCGTAATAACTCCCGTAGAAGGACGTGAAGGCCGTGTCAGAGCTGACACTTGGTGGCAAACTCGTCGACTCCATTGTTTCCCTTTCGTTGCCCAGTGTGGAGGATGGCCCCCTTATGTCCAAGATGCCACTTACAGCGGACATTCCTGAACTCGTCGCCGTTTCTGCCTCACCAACGTCGGGATGAGACATGTGTCTTAAACTTAAAATTACGTCACTTTAATTCAAACTTAAGTCTCCGTCAATTTCTTATCGGTTGCATTAAATTGTTGTGGGGACGTGTATACTAAGGGGTAATAATATATATAATGAGGTAGCAAATTAAGGTGAACTAGAGATAAAGAGTGATTTGGGACCAGTAGGCAACAAAAGGCACCCTATCAATAAGGAAGTCACATCTCGCCCAAACACATGCGCAAAGCATCTTTTCTGCATTAGTTTCTTTCTTAGATTAATTTAGACAATTTTTTAAATGCCAAAAACTACCCTGGGCTGGAAGTACCTAACTGTTGTACTCTTGATAGTGTTGTCTAAGCCTCTTCCCTTAAGTTTGAGTGTTTTGCTTCAATAAAATCTGCGAAATATAACTAAAAAGATTCATGTTCCGTCCATACGACAGATGTTCTTTTTTCACAGTATACTGGTTTTCTTTAAACGGCTAAAGCATTTCTTTCAATCATATACTCTACGAAACTTCCTAATTTCCCCTTTTGGGCGTAGCAAGATAATAACCTATTTGACGACATGAACGATTCTACGTAACTAAAAGACTCATTCCGTGGAAATAACTTCTCACAAATCATTGACGTCAAGGTTTCGTCAATATACAGACTACCTCCATTCATGATAGGCTCACTCGCGCCCCGCGTTTCACCTACCTGCGCGCCAACACGTTTCTCTCTCTTACCCACCACTGCCCACCAGTAGAGGTCGGTTTAACTTTTGAACCAGCTAATCATGAAAGTTTCTTCCCCTGCTCGCAAGCGAACAGAAATCCAATTATCGATAAGCTTTAATTTCTCGAAGAATATAAAATTTACATGTAAATATACACAGAATTAAAAAATGTCAGAAAGGAGAAATAAGTCGGGAGTAGTCAGTCAGATCATTGAGTTCGCTCGATTCGATCTCTAAGTTCGATCACTCCGATCATTGCGATCACTCGACTTATTGATAGATCACTGAGGTTATTCAGTTTGATCAAACAATAGGTTCTAACTGTAACATATTAACATTTCCAACAGATCATTACAAGTATCCTTGCATTCCGGAAAACAATGTATGGTGCACCATAACATTAACAAAAGAAATAAAAATGATTCGTTGAATGAACTTTACCTGTAATCCGGAGCAGGGGGTTCAATGTGCTGTCTCCGCGAGTTCGCCGATATCGGCGTTCTCTTTATCGCGTAGATGTATATACCGGTCATTGTCAGCGTGTATGAGACGAAATATAATGCGTGAAACTGGAACAAGTAGAGGGAGTCTATTAACAGACGCATACAATACACTTCTCTTGTCAACGGACGGTGAGTTCTCTATTCATGCGAACGAAAGAGGAGGCAGTTACGACGCGATTTCACGTTCCGTTGTAACGTTTACAAAAATATGCATTTTAATTTTAAAAATATACCTTGTATTGGTGGATCAACATGCCAGATAAAACATTGAAAGAGTCCGCGGTGAGCAACGCCAATTGCAGCGCCGTCGCGCCCGACTCGAACAATATGACAGGCACCAAAGAGAAAAACACAAACTGCGTGATACAGTACACCACCATGCACGTGATCACCGGCGCATTGTTCCAATGAAATGATTCCAGTTTCAGGCTCTCCAACACAGCCCTAAAACACCATCGAGAACCACGAGAAGCTCGTTTCTTTTTTTTCCACTCGGAAACACGTGAATATTGTGTTCATTATTCATCGAATAAACTCACGTCTGCATGCAGCTCAGTATCGTGCCGAAGAAACCGATCATGCCCAGATACTCGATGATATCGACGGTCTTAACCGCTAATTCCTGAAGCACCGTGGTGATAGAAAACAATACCGCGCCACCCAGGCACAGCATATCACCGACAAGTTGATTTTTTCCTAAAAATTTCAACATATGAAACAAATCAAGTAACAACGGCTGATCGTAGACGATTAACTGTGTGCAATCACCTGTCGATGCAGGGTCCTTATTGTCATCGATTCCCGCCCAAACCAAGCATCCCACCCCCATCAAACAAACGGAAACGCCGACGATGTGCACCATTCGGTACCTTACCCCCAGAACTAAACAGGACAATGCCAGCGCGACTGGTATGGCGACACAGTCGAGTAGCTGAAACAGATTTCCCGTTATCAAGTGCCAACCGTCGCTTTACATCGTTAGAACGGTGAACGCCCGTGTGCTGATAACAATGACGAAGTTTGCGATGCTCGCATCTCTCGCCGGCGATCAAGAATAGCCGGGGCGAGAGGGCGGGAGTAAACGGGTCGAAGACCCGGCGTCCCCCTTTCACCCTGTGGTGGTATGATCCGATACAATGAATGTTCACCGTGCCATTCATCGCGGCCACGAACACTACGATCCTTAATTACGCCAACAGTCGCGAACAGTTTGTAAAGCGCAACGCCTCCCTGGCATTGTGTAAGGGGGAAAAGAATCGTGCACCATTGATAGCGAATAAGTCACTTTTTACTTTCTATCGAAACTTTTTCGCTCAGACGATCGCGAATAAACAGGTGCTTCAAAGAAACGATTTGCGACTTCGATATGATGAATGAATTTGATGGTTACCGTAAGTTAGGGTAGTTTTGACTCAGTCGGAGGTAACTTTGTCTCAAGTCAGAAAATTATTATGTTCTGACTTGGATAAGTAGATAGTGGTTCAGATTGAATTTTCAAGTAGCTGAATTTAGAGAATGGTAATGATCTAATCTAAATACATGAACTTCATTGTCAGTTATAATCATACTGTGGATGTTTATAAAAATTTTGATTTACTTCAAGTAACGTAAAAAGACAGGCGTTAAGTAAAAATTTATTACCGCATTGAATGAATCTATTAAATGAGGAGGAAATAAAAGTCCGTTGGACTTCATACAAAATTTCTCATTTAATTACATCTCTTAACAAAGAGAAGTTTAATAAAGAGGAAGAAAATAAGTTTTATACATTTACAAGCAATGAGTGTCTGTTCAACAGATTACATTGCTCTTTTTCAGTACGCTACATTCACGCGAATTAATTAGCAACCTTGTATACTGCAGCGAACAAGTACTTTGTCATCGTTCTCTAGTGAAATGCAAAGCTGGAAATCTCGTGTGACATCATTAGCGCGTACCTGTATGCTAGCTAGGCTGGTGAATTGATGCGAGGATGTTACAAGTGTGCATGCTTCGACGTCAATGAGTGCCAACAACAAGTACCTCCATCCACGGGCTCTTATGACCGAAATTAGGCCGTTCCCCACCCCTCTGCAGGACATCCAGGTTGTGTATACAAGGCACATCATCACGTAATGCGGAAGATTCTGTCCTGCCTCGCAGAAAAGCATTTTTTTTTTCGGCTCGTAACACCGTCGCGGACAAATAGTTTCGGTTCTTAGGAGATTCACGATTAAACGATCGCTCGTTAAATGACTCACCGGTCGGAAGGGAGAGTTGATACGTGGTGTTGATCTGGTGATTCGCGAGGGTCATGAAACACAGCACCAGGGACAGGAATTGTCCCATTATTATGGCTCTCCATACCGCCCTGCGAATGTACAGAAAACACGATATTCCAAAACAATTAAAATTTCCCGATGTTTACACAACCGGGCACACGAAGCACTGTTTATACTTGTTACAAATTATCGAAAACTGTTTCCCACTGCGGGTAAACATTTGCTCGGAATTCAAACCACAACGACGGAAAACATACAAACACACACGATCATAACAGAGTGTACCAATCATCGATAGAATTATTCAAACAACACTCTAGATCAAATAATAAATTATTACCCGTCTTACAAATAGACTGCGGATGTGTTTGCGAAAATAGAATTTTATAAATTAATTTCCCAACACTTGATGCAAGTAAAAGTTTATTTACTCTATCTAGTGTTCAAGTAGGTTCGAAATAAAAAGAAAGCCCCAACAGATATTCTGAAACTGTTTACTACACTGAATTTTAAACGATATTCTATAAATGCATAAAATCCGCAGTATATGTATAAATCAAAGGATATACAGAGAATTTTTGTCAAATCCAGTAGGGAAAACATTAATAGCATTTCTATCGTTTCAAATCGAAAGTCACAAGTGAAATTAAATTCCTTTAACGGTCATAAATGAAAGACACCGTGCAATTTATGAAAGAAAAATCGTCGTTTCCGTGCACACTGGAAGTTCGCGAGAGAAACCATGAAATAAACACCCGCCACTTTTATCCACGGAATCCACCACATCCCCTTTGCCGTCGATCGCCGCCGTCTAGCCGGTTCGAGAGTGGACCAAACGGTTTCCCCACACGATACGTCCTTCTAGCCGGTCGATCCTCCTTTACTTACGTACCACTGTCCCAGCTCCGATATATAATTCTCGATCTTGTCGCAAACACCGTTTCTCGGCTGCATCCCGGTATTTTGGCCGCAGCGACGATCGCCCGCTGACACTCCCATGCCATGGTGCATTTTCGCCGTTAGGCTGTTAACCACCCGGCGCTGGAATAGGGGCGCTTGCGCGACCTCTTATCCTTCCGCGCGAGGAGGGACGAACGGCTCTTTTCTTTTTTCTTTTTTTTTTTTCGTTTTTGCAGACGGGATGAGAAATGGGGTACACGATGCTGCGGTGTTACTCCGACGGCTTTTCGTTATTCCACCGTGTTCCGATCGATCGCTACCTGCCGCATGGAAGATCGATCAAGTCAGACGTTGCACTCCCTTTCCGCGTTCCATTGAAACGGTTGAGTGTTTGGTTAGATCGCTGGATCCTTAATTGGTAGCAAGTTGTACAATGATTGCGTGATCTTTTTATGTAGTCTATTTCTAGAATTTTCAAACTTCATTTTTGATGACCCTGGAACCTTGAATTTTTTGGAAGGGTAAGAAAAAGGATCGATTTTTGGGGTGTTGGAGAAATAAATTTGGCGAATCGATTTCGAATGAAATGTCGTTTGGAGAGTTAATCGATATTATTTATTGTTGATAAGTGAAATATGGTATCGGTGGATGATAAGGAAGGCTACGCACTGATACAAGTCGATCGGATCGATGAATTGATGGACAAGGTAAAGAAGTATGTCTTTCTTTATTTTCAGGTATTCTTCTTCGTAGATCGTTATTTACAACGTATTGACAGATTTGATTATATCGTAATTTCAGTCGTCAATGATCATTAAAAAGTTCTTCACGTGGAGGTTCCTCGACAGCATTTATATAAACTTTTAAACACCTTCAACTTACGTAATTATCTTATATGTATAGATCTCAAACATTACGTTAATGAATTATATTATTATGCACAAGTGTGTGTGTGTGTGTGTGTGGTACGGTGTGTGTATGTGTGGTCACCCGACGTATGAAAAGAAGGCAATCGTAAACGTTCAATGATAATGCAAGATTTGTGCAGTCGGATCCTTTAGTCCAAATGGTTTAATAACATGTTGCAAATTGGCTATCTAAGGAGGAAACTGTTAACTTATACGATCCAGCCACCCATACAAAGTTGGAAAAATAGGTTGGAAAAATATTTTTACCAGTCTCCTAGGTTCTTGGTTGCTTGCGAGCGCGGAACACGATTTTCAAACTCGAACGAGTACGACTCGCGCGATTCCCTAGCGGCAACGTGTGTTCTAATCACGCTCTGAAAAATTTCATGTAAGACTTGGAATAACGAGAAACGTTGAATGTGAAAGTGTACACACGCGTTAAACGTTGTAGTCTATCTATCGACGTACGAGCGAGAATGTAGTTTCCTAAAGTCTGATCTTAGCTTGTCGAATGTTATTCATGCAATCCATTTTCTTGCGTGTAGAAGTTAAGAGACTACGGATTATCGAAGACGTTTCAGGAGAGAAAATCTTCTTTATGCAATAACGATCGATTTGGTCGTTCGTGCACGATGACACGTGGCAATGAAATCCTACTTCTTCTTCGCCTCTTCCTCTACTGCCTCGTTCTGCTTGCGGAAGCAGTCACCGACAGGGAAGAAGTCCCAACACCTTTGCTGGTACATGTTCCACACGTACGTTTCCTGACCGGTGTATTCGGTGTCTGGTTTGTTGATTAAGTGCATGAGGAAGAACCTGAAATTATAGATCAGAGTGTCGATACATAGATTCGTTTCATCGTTAAAAGAAGAAAAGTTTGGATATAATAACTTACATGTAATTAGCAAGATTATGTTCCTGTTGAACGTGTGTATCGAAACCATGTGGAACCGTATCAAAGTACTCTTTCTCTAAGCCACTAATGAAACAGTTACTCTCCATGTTTGTTTTCACATTTTCGAGCTGGTCTCGAAGTTCACCGAATGCGTCGATAATCAAACCTGAAGAAGATTGAATGGATTAAGTGTGAGGGATTGAGGGATAATAGAAGAGTAATCGTCAGAGATCTGTCTTAAGTTACCCTGAATAATAGCCAGCAAAATGACAATAACGAAAAAGAAGAAAGTGATGTCGAACATGATACGATAGACTTCGTAATCGTCGCCATCCGGTTCGCCAATCTCGTCACCGATACCACCACCGGCTCTGACGCCTTTGTAAAGATGAAACACGAAGCACTGTAATGAAAATATTATTAACATTAGAATATGTCGATACGAGGTAGGTATGTGAAAATATATTTTTCATACCGTTAACATATCATGACATTTCTTGTCCACTTCGTCGTCTTCCTCTTGAATATAAAATTTCCTGAAGAAGTTAAAGGCTATGACCGTGTATATGTATACAACGATCGTCAGCAACATCACCGTTAGTACCAATTGTTTGCCGTTGTGCGTTACGGATTGCAAGATCGTCCTAAGCGTTTTGAAACCGACCGCGACGTCCAGCAGATGAGCAGCGAAGAAGAAGTTGTTATAGTTCCCGAGGATCGAGAATATGAAGTACCACAAGCTATACAAAAATGCCTGGAAAAAATGAATATAATATGTAGAGTGAATCGAAACTTATTTCTATCATTGAATTGAGGCAACTCACGTTGTCGGTGATGGTGACTCCAGCTTTCCACACTTGATACCTCCAGTCGATATTTACGATACTGAAAGAAATTCATGTACTATAGAAGACAAACACTAATATTCGTTCGAATTTTATTATACAACTTGACTTACAAATGGATCAAACCAGAACCCTCTTCTTCTTGTTGGCTGAACGAAGTCTTCTCCATACCGAGCAAGTTGCTGATATAATCGAAGTCGTAGGTCTCGCTGTACTTCTGACGAACTTTCTTCTTCACGAATTTATCCCAATAATTCACAGGAAACGTTTTCGCTGATATCACCATTTTATCCCAATGTGCCTTGATGTCGTCTTCCTCAGGCGTCTCGGCAATATACAATCCATCAAATTCCACTCGTCGCGCGATTTCCTTTTCTCGTTTGAAGATGGCCAGCGGTACCTAAATCCACAATAGGCAAATAATGGATTGGTAAACGTTCTGGTATACTGCTGGAAGTTAAAACAGCGATAAGTTGAGAACACGAATATTTGTTCTCTGTACCTTCAGATGGTAATAAGCGACCAGCATAGCGAGAGAAACGATCGAATGAAGAGCAGCCATGAGCCTCATAACGTGTGCCATGTAATAGAAATCCTCAGAGACTTCGACGTATTCCAGAGCGTACGCGTCTTCCTCCTCTTCCGAATCCGGAACCGGATGGACCCTCGCCAGACATATCCGCCAACATGTCCGCCATTATTTGACCGCTACCTTCTTCGTCCTCGTCACTGGCCAAAGAAGATACCTGTGGAACAATAATTTACATCGTGACAAGAACCGAAAATCTTTGCGTGGCAAGGTTCAGCAACTCTGTACCTTGTAGAACAGCAACATGAAATTGATGCAAAAGGCGAGAACCAAAGCAACGTATTTCAAGTTATAGAAATTCCTGGCCAAGAAAGATACAATGCGGTGAGTGTACTCGGACAAATCGATACTGGACGTCGTGGTTTCAGTCGCTGGTTCCTGCTTCGCTTCTGCTTCCACCGCAGCCATCGCTGCCTGTTGCGCAGCTGCTGCTTCGGCAGCGGCTGCAGCCTGAGCTCTTGCCTGTTCGCCACTGTTAATAGAACAAATTAATTGGATAATCTGTGGTTTAAGTTGTTGAATATAGACTTCAGAAGTTATAAAATTAATCATCGTACCCTAATAAATCAGCCAATGAAACAGGTGTTTCCGTGTCTCCGGTTCCACTTTCAACCCTTGGACCCTCTTCACCGGTAGCTTCTTCTGGTGTGCTCTCACCAGTTTCTTCGATGCTCGATTGAGGTGTCGAAGCTGCTGATTCGTGGGGCGCTATCTTTATCTGGCCTTCTTCTTTCGTTATGTCCATTCCAAACGCCTGCACCTGCAAGGAATTAAAATTCGGTCATGATTGTTTCTTTGGAAAACGAACGATACAGACCTGTAGATTCGATTCATCCGGTGTTGGTGGCAAAGCAGGTAGATGCCTCGATGGTTTCTCTTCTTCCTCCTTCACCTCGACGACAGGTTCTTCCAAATGTGGTCCTTTCATCAACGCCAACAGTAACCTCATGAAATACCTAATAACACAGCCAACACCGAATCCAGAGTAGTAGAACGCGTAGAATATCATCTTAAAGAAGCCAACGAAGAGTTCCAATATCGTCATCTGTTGCATCTCAGCGATCTTGTTCTTGATGTTCGTTGGAGAGAATATGGAGAAGAAGAAGTAGATACCGTCCTTGAAAGTTTGGATACCTCTCCGGATGGGATCTTTGTTCCTTTCTTCGTCGTCTTCTGTCATGTAGGTGTAAGAGGATTCCCTGGCTTTTCCGATTCCTCCGCTTTCCTCCACCGCCATCAACGCGCTCGCATGCTGCATTTCAAAGATGGCGTCCTCACAGAAGTTGATGAAGGTCTCCAATTTCTCCTTCTCTCCAGCCTCTACCACGGTGTTGTAGAAGTATGTCCTCTTGGACTCCTTGATCTGCGGCTTCTCCCACTGCTCGATGTTCGATTCCTTGATCTCGAAGTACACCCGCTCGATCTTCTTGTTCCCACCAAGGATCTCGATCCTGCCGAGGAATGGCTCGAAGTAATTCAACACAGAACCTGCTGTCTCGAGGAATCTCGCCAGTCTGGGCTCGTTCGGCATGTGCTCGGACAAATTGGTCAGCAGAACAGCAAGATTGAAACCGATCTCTTTCGCTGGCTCGTGGAAACGGTCCATGAATGCTACGTAGTCAATTTTACCATCGTGATTCGTCTCGCAACAGGCTAACAGGAATTCCATCTCCTCGCTGTAAAAATGTTACACAAATTTTTATGTCTTTCACCGATCTACAACTGATGATAATATCTGAGGAACTCACTTTGTATAGCTCTTTTGCTGTTCCATTTTCTCCTTGAAATCCTTAGGGTACACCCAGCCGTCGCTGTTCAGATCAACCTCCAAGAAACTAGGTGACGAGACCAAGTCCTTCAGTTTCAAGAACATGTCGAAGTACTTGAGAATTAATTCGACGTTGCCCGCTGATTCCACCAGGGTGTCTACCATCTGCTTTCCAATAGTTCCATTCACAACGTTACCTAAAATAATACAAGTCAGAACATACCGATTTATTTAATTCACATTCTAGAAGATATAAATTTAAACGAAGATAAAGTACCTTCAAGCATAGAGAGCATCATGGTGATCATGTCTTTTTGCAAATTGAGTAATTCCTTCAGAAGATCCACTTGACTCGAGTGCTTCGACAACTTGTCTTGCATGTGAGAGAACAAGAATAGGAAACCACCAACGGCGTCCCATAATCGAGAATGCGCAAGTGCTTGTTGGTTCTGCGCGCAAGGTCCCTGAATGACTTCAGTCAGGGTGTTAAAGACCTGACTGGCGACGCCTATGGCTTTGAAGAAGTTAGCTTTGCCGGCGGGGTCGATGAGTTCCTTGCTAGAATAGTGCCAATAAAAGTCCATGATGGACTCTTGGAGTCGTAAAAGGTAATCGACGGTGCAGATAACGACGTTCACTGTCGTCGTGTTACCGGCCTGGGTCCTCAGATAGTTCTGCCAGTCTATTAACAATAAAGACTCTCAGTCGCTTTGTTCTATGATTCTTATTGCTATGAAAAATTATTGCAAATAATTTAAATGAACACACCAAGATTGTGACCTTCGCAGGTCAGTTGAATGAACCGAAACAAGGCACACGTAAATTCGGCGTCGTGCATGTTCTTTTCACCTGCCGCTCCCTCGGAACCAACTCCTAGTCCTTCAGCTTTAGTGTTCCTCTCAAAAGCGTCCAGATCCAATACACTGCATGAATTCATTAAACCGGCGATCGAAGTGAAGAATCCTACGTCCTTCTTTTCTTTCAAATGATTCAACATTCCCCGTTGGATCTCTATATTACCACCGCGTAGAATGGATATACCCAACTCCAAAGTCTTCATAACCATCTCGCTTGGTAGGCCTTTGCAGGCGGATATGTGGAGCAGGACCATTTCCGCTACGCCGCGGTTGGCGAGACGTGCTTGGTGGAAGAGAAGCTTCTGTTTTTCCATTTCTTGTTCCTGCAAGAATGTATATAGACCATTTATTTTAATCCCTTATGTCACTTATACTAATTGCTGTAATGTAAATGGGAAGCAGAAGGATTCTCGCCCTATCTTTTATTTTAAAGTATAATTATTACACTTCGGATTAAAAGTTTAGAAATAATATGTGATATAAAGGTAGAGATATCTTCACTAAATAAACAAATTTATTAAATATAAACAAACAGCATTTATTATAAATGCTGTAAATTTGTCTTACCATGAGCTTGTGCATTGGTCTCTTCAGGAAAGCATTAAACAATTATCGCAGACTTAGTAAATGGAGTCAAAGACAGCCACGCTTAGGGTGAAGTGAAGTTTAATGAAGAGAGGTGTAAGGAGACATAGAGTGGAATTCGAGTTTACTTTGAAGTGATCAGGGATACAACGATTATTACAAGCATATTGAAAAAACCGTATATGTGTGTGGTTATACTCATGTAAATAACAATCAGGTAAGCTGTACAATGGAAGTTGGACTGTATCTGACAATGGTGACATCCAATTTTCGACTCCGAATCAACGAGCCGAAGTATGGTAGCAAATGAGTTTCCGACACAACTACTTATTCTTACCATAAGTAGCTTATGCGCCCGCTTCTACAGGGTTAGTATGTGAAAGAAAGATAGGAAGAAAGTTGTTAATAAGTTTCAAACACACCCAAAGATCTTCCGTAATTTCTAGCTTCATTAAGTAGTATATAGTTGATAGTAATTTTGTAGAGTTTCAGTAGCAGAGCTTTCATTAGAAATTCAATAAACGCTTACGTGGATCGAAGCGCCCCCTTCTTCTTCACCCCCTCCACCCTCGTCTTCGCCTTCCTCTTCCTCTTCGCCGCAAGATTTTGATATAATTCGCGCATAACTCATATACAGAGGATCTTCCTGAAGAGCACCGGATCGTTCTGTCATGGCACCACGACAGAACGTTGTCACTAATTGCGTGAGCGGGTCTGGTTTTCCTTCGTCCTCGTCTTTGTCCATCTTCTTCAATTCGGCGTCCTCGAAAGATTGCTTCAAAAACATTGAAACATATTACTGCAACTGTTCCCCATAGTTACGTAATATTTAATACAAATCGTTTGATAGAATTAAAGGTTTACCGTAAGGTCTTCAATCATCACTTCTTGACCGACATTCTCATCCTGCAACCAGAGCTCGTAGTATGTTCGTGCGAATATGTTTATAGCCCGATGCCTAAAATAATATATACGTAACAATTACTGTCCACTGAAACGTACAATTCAACGAATGTTTTTCATTACTTTACCTTCGTAAATCGTAAAGTGGCTTGCTACGCAGACATGCAATTGCCGCTCTCTTTCTGGCCGCACACAACACACGCTTCCATCCATCTCGAGATGGTGGAGGTTTCATTGCCTTTTAGCAGCATGCACACACAACTATGGTCGTTAGATCACTAATGAATAATTGAAGGAAACATCATCGATGACTAATGATTAGTTTTGCATATCCTTGTACAAGCTCTCGCGGAAAACATCAAGAAATAATTCAAATATTGGTTACTGGTCTACGTGACGAAAACATAACTAAAAAAAAAAAAAATAATGATCAAACTTAAGTGAATGTTAAAGTTTAAGCAACAGAACCGTTAAAGTACAGACGATGTATCGGTTCTCGTGATCGATTGTACCGGAAGCGAACAGAAATCCGGAAAACGCGATCAACGCGAATCAAACTAAAAGAGGATACCTGGGCAAGGAATGTAGGGAAGTTTGACGGAAACAAGCGATCACCGCTCGTTTACGTTGTATCGACACCACGGATCGATATTGACCCTTGCTCTGCTGTTGCGGATGATCTATCTACTCGAGAACATAAAATTACTAAATAAATCGATATGATTCTCAAACAAAGAAGCTTTACCTACGGCACAATGACAGGGAGGTACATGTAAATCGGTTTCTAAACAATCACCCCACTTACCATGTGTAAACCATAAAGAACTTTAGCCATGTCGGTGATACGTGCGACCACGTCCTCTAACTGTTGCGCCTTCACTGGCTCCATCGCGTCTTTCTTCTGACCTAGCTTGGAGTACAGATAATGCTGCCAGGACATTTCGTCGGCGGGATCGATCTTGTCCGGCAAAGTCAGTTGCGTTTTGGCGAACTCGGCGATTTCGTACTCAGGCATCTTCTTCAAGAATCTATCTTTGCAGTGCTGTACCAATTCTTGTTCACGTCCAGCGAATAAGTTCAGACCAACGGGTAGTAATCTCTTCAAACAGGCTACCATCAGAGATGCTTGCACCTCTTTATCCTTGTCCCTTTTTTTGTCACGATGCTTCTTCTTTTTCTGCTTGTCGAATTGTTTAACAGATCACAGAAATATTTTCATTTTTAATTTTGAAACTAAAAGTATATCTCTATTATGCTACCAACCTTGCCTCCACCAGAAGGTGCAGTTCCATCCGAGATAGCAGCAGGTCTTCTAGTTGCTGTTGGCATGATGAGCACCATATTATCTATCTCGTTCGCGGATATGAAGTTCTGTTCCTCCCGCAAGAAATACTGCGACTTGGACCAAATGTTGAATATTGCTGCTACGTGATTATAGAGATCCTCAGCCTCAGGTATATTATTTCTCAGCCAGTGGTTCCTCTGGAGATCCACGTATTTGATCAACAGGGGATAGAACGAGTAGATATCACGAACTAACAGTTGCCAGTCTTCCTGAATCTGTGCTTCAACCTGTGACGTGTCGTCAGTGGACGATTTTATGAAACCTCGAAGAGATTCTTCTTTGTGGAACATATTATCGGTACGTTTTCTGACACGTTCAGCGAGTGGTAAGAACGGATCCTTCAGAAGCTCCTCTGAAGAATTGATGATGATCTGTTGGGTGTAGGCAGCGATACGAGTCATCCAAGGGGCATTCTCGTTACCGATGTTCTTCTTGATCAACTTGAGGACATTCTTCAGAAGTTGGTTCATGTGATCACTGGTGACCATGCTGACATACGTTCCCTCTGTTGGATTTACGTTATCTGGTCCTTGCGCCCACCAGAATGGTAAATACGAGCAAAGCAGGGGTAGAATGATATCTACAACGTGGGGAAGATCGTTGTAGGTTTTGTCAGACTCGACGAACTGATCGACTTCCGATAAGATTGTCTCCAGAGTGGGCATGCTGGACTCCATTTTGGTCATTATGTCCTGAGCTTCCAAGGAATGATCAGCGATACGATTCAAAAGGGAAAACTGATTGTGCTTGTTCAAATGTGGCTCCAGGAAAGCTACGGGGAAGCAACTCGAGAAAGCGCCTAAACAAGACCCTAAGTTCGGCTTGTGACGCTCGATTTCTGTCTTCAAGTACTTCCTGTCGTGCGTCAGAGAAGCGTCTACGCCAAGAGTGTATAATGACGCTAACATTTTGTAGGACGCGACTTGAATTTCATCCACTGTAAGAAAAAAGGAATTAGTATGACCCTTGAAAGACAAACATGTCTATATTCAATATTGTGTACTCACGGAGAAGATCACTGCCGTACTCGCAAGCAGCCAGGTGATCGAACATGGCGGTCAGAACCGGTAAAACGACGCTGTTGATGTACGACAAAGAAGTCGACGTTTTCAGATGTGTACCTCTAAGATGACTATATTTGCCCTCCTGAAGATTTAGAATTGTATGACCCAAATCATCTGCGGTGTTGTTGAAGAACGTCAACATAGAAGTTCTGATGAATTCAGGACAATTTTTAACCAAGCTCTTCGCGTCGATGCCTTTGACCAATACTTGAAGACAACGGACGGTGATCCTCACGTCTGGTCCGAAAGCAGCCAGTCTAGATCTTAACAAACTGGCCAATTTACAGAAGAGAGCAGCCACCATTTCCTTCTCCTTCAAAGAAGCAGCTCCGACGTTATTAGTTGCTGTGGCAACTGCGATAAAGTAATTCCTGTGCGTGCTGAAGTACTTCTCCATCAGAGGTAACACGACCTTGCTGAAGAACTTGATGTCCCTTGTCGACGTTTTAAAACTGTTACGTCGGCTGAACGTGTCGGAAGGTTTCAGTAGCTTCATGTTAATAGTGGCCTTGTCCAAATATGCTATCAGTTTCTCCAGTAACGAATATGCGAATCTTAGCTCCACTGAAGCTCCAGCCGTAGCAACTTCGGACTCTCCGCCTCGATTTGGTTTGTGAAGCTTGTAACCTTGGTATTGTAGATACTTGAGGAATTCCTGGGAACGTTCGCGGTCCTTTCGCTTCTCCTTGTCCGTCAGTAAATCGTATGGTACCAACTGAGGATGAATACCGCCCCCTAAAAAAATTTTACATTTTTTAAATAAAATACATTCTTTTAGAATTGAAGAAATATCTGTTTTAGAGTGTCGTTTGCACGGACCACATGTAATGAGCTCTTCCTTCTTCTTCTTGGCCCAAATGTCATGGGCATTGTCCGCAAGACGTTCAGCCATATTCTGCATTTCTCTGCTAAGTGTCAGGTTCGTCATGTCGACTGGATGAGGATTGTAATTAAATGGACTCGCCGAATCACCCTGTAATATTAAAGTTACTTAGGATAGTTGTGTTTCGTACAGATAGATACTTTTGAATAGCCTACTTACTTGACTCTTCGATGATCTTCGCATGGAGCTGCGATTGGTCGAAGGTACATCTACTTCTGCGTGTTCAACACTCCACCCTATAGCCAGCAAAGCTTTCAAGCTCTCTCTGACAGGCTCCTTGTAACGTTCCCGTTCGTAGTCGTTCAACATATTGTAAGGCTTCAATCTAGGATGAGTCTTATTTATTTCAGACCACTGTTCACCGTAAGTCCAACCGTTTTCTAACTTCCGACTGGCCCAGGCGTCGTGGTAATGCTCAGAGAATTTCTGTACTATCTGATTGAGGTCATTGTTCAGAACCACACTGCAAAATATTCAGGAGGACAAATGTGATTTGAAATTGATTACTATTATGTATAATTTTGGGAATAGAGATTCTGGTACCTGGAGGTGTTGATTGGCTGTGGATTGTACGGTCCATCAGGTGACTGCGTGGATGCCGATTTACTGCCATACCATTCATCGTCGTAATTCTTAGACAACGAATAGTCAGGTGGCAAAGCACAACCAATAGCCGTGAGGCAAGGTAAAGCTTTTCCAAACAGTTCTGGATCGTAGTCCATTTTGGACAAGGAATCGAATATGTTGCTGAAGAGGACCATGGTCAGACGTTTCTCTTCGTCGCTCGATGCACCGTATGCACCTTGTCCACCAGTTGAACCGTAGTATTTGGCACAACGGTCGTAATGGAGAGTCAATAGCTGTAATATCAAACATAAAATCATTATTTCACAGTGCTAAATCTCTGTTCCAGGTAATTAGGCATTGTATAATCTGAAAGTAGATTCTATAACCGCTGACTTACCCTCAGGGCGACGGTGGTATACTCCGACAGTTTCGACACGTCCACGGTCAGTTTTCGGAGTAACTTCAGCAGCATACTTGGTTGCATTTGGCTAAAAAGAGAGAACAGTTAGATGGAAGCAATGGCTAAAGTATTACAGATTAACACCAACATATATTCTACAATATAAGCGCGATCGCTTTCGTGACACATTCAATATCGTGACAATTATCGTGGGACAAGGACAAGCAATTTAAGTAATATTGATAGAACTTACAAGACACTTAACTCGTGGACTTCGCTTGTTAAGTAACAAAACGATTCCGTTAATAATTTCGGTTAATTATAAGAAGATCGTGTTTACCTAGTCAGGGCTACCAGGAAGTCCGACACAGCCTCGCGTTGACCCTTCGTCAGCATTCTGTTCTTGCTCAATCGGTAGACAGTGTGCAGTGTGGCGTCCAAAAGACTGGCGTAGTTGTCTGCCTCGTTGTAGAACTTGGAATGCTTGATCAGGAGTGGTAGAATGCTGATTCCGATGTAACGGTTCATTGCTAACGCCATGTCAGATTCGTAACCATCGTTCTGGAATAAAAATAAGTATTTCAAATGTCAAAAATTACTATAAATGTGAAAAATACCATTATTATTTTGTGAAGAAAATGTCCATCTTCTACTACATATAATTTACAGAACAAAATTGCTTACTCTATCGAGCATGGTCGCAGCTCGAAGATCAGGTAGGAAGGCTTCCTCGAGTATCTTGAAGAACAGCTCTTGAGTCTCGATACCATAAACACGTTCCAGAAATAGGACAACACTTTGTTTGTGTCCCGGAATAAGACCAGACGGCATGTCGCTTTTCGGCTTCTCTTCGCCAGCGGCTGGGTTTAGTAGAGTGAACCTCAAAGACAGAACACCCTGCAGATCGTCAAGTGGCACCAGCGATCGTAGGATAGCTCTCGCTCGTAGAGACTCGTTCTTCCCTGAAATTTGACCTCCGCGTCAGTAACGTTTTCAATAGCGGATCGTGTATCGAAAAGAAACTTTTATTTCGTATATATTACCAACGGTGGATTCTGTAGAAGCTTCTGTTGCACGTTAAAAAAGTAAACGCTATTATTAGATAGAAAATCTCTTTTTACAAGTTACTGGTGATTTGTGAAGAAGCAGGTTGAGTTGCAGTATAACTATGAAAGTATGTACAAGTGAACAAAGTACAAAGTGCAACAGGTGATACGTACAGACGTGGACCGAGATTTTTTTCTTAAATATGAGGTATGTGAACGAGGTCGAAGGAATGTGTGACGCCAATTTCACTTACCTTGTTCAATGACAGAAGAATCTGGAGCGCAGCGACCCAGTAGGTCTACCAAAGTACAGTAAAAGTTCAAGATAGCGGCACCGGTGTCAATATAGTCTTCATCCTCATCTGATTCCGGAAGCGGATGCTCGAATTGCATTACCGATGTGCCCTCTGCTTCATCGTGCACCTGTATCATCGGTACAATCATTATGTTGCATGTAGATGTAAGCATTTTTCGATATAAAGTTTCGAAATCATCAAGCTTACCTTGCGTCGATCAGCAATGCGTTCAGACATTTTGTTGGCGTCTATGATAGCTCTCAGCAGACCTTCACCCTCGCCACGGAGCGCCGGACCTAAACATTCCGGTCTTCTGATCAGCAAACGTATCACCAAATTCGCGTTTTCCTCCACACTTTCACCTAAACAGAAAAAAAAATTTAGTCATAAATACATTCTACAAGCATAAGTTCAGTTATTGACTTTAAACAAATATACAACTTACCATTAACCCAGACACAGAACCTCAAAAAGTCCAAATATCGTTCACCTTCCACCGGATCCCATCCCAGATCGGGATAACCCTTCTCTACTAGTTCCGAGTTCGATTGTAGACCACAACGGGACAAGTAGATGGCAATTTTCTCGAGATAGTGTTCTCTGAGAGCCAATGCGAGTTCCGTGTTCTCCATAAGAGAAGAGTAAGCCACGTCTAAAGGCGTAGATCCTCTCAATGATGGTCTCGATAAGAGAATGTTACTGTTCTCCAGCAAGAAGTCAAAGTGATCGAACATAGCCTTTTGATTCTGCCTTGACGTGCGACAGAAATAACAAAGGAATCTGCAACAGGCTACCACCATCTCGTGGGAAGTGTCCTTCTCCTTGGAAGCTGGTTCTCCTCCTTCTGTAGTCTGCGGTTGAGTCTGAGCGTCCGACTGCGCTTGTGCTCGTCTGCCCAAAGTGTTCATCATGATCGCCATGACATTCTCGTGAATTCTCAACACTCTGATCAAATCCGGATGTTGAAAGAAGGTGTGGTTGTTTACGAGTTTCCAGAGTCTTTCTCTAACTAGCTCTTCTTCCTCTTGCGACATCTGCACGGGTAATAATGCACGAATTTGGCTCAGACCGACCCACATCAGCGCAGCGTCCTCCCTCGTTTTGCTGTTGGTTACGTAGGTCTTCTCTAGGGCTCTGATCAACTCGCCGACAGTGTCGTATTGACGTACCAGAAGGCTGAACATCTCGCGTACTAATTTTGGAGTCTCAATCTGGGATTCCTCGGCCCAGCTGACGATGGTCGATATAAGGACTTTACGGAACACCTCTGAAAGAAGACAGAAGAGCAGCTGTGAGTCTAAAGCTTCAACTGATTGATATCACGAAGATTAGAATTGTAGTATTGTAGAAGAAATATATATTTTTAAAGAAGAATTAGTAGGATGCAATTTTACCTTCTGGAGTTTTCCTTTCCGGTTCAGGTTCCGGTTTAGGTTCCTCTTCCAGCTCCTTCACAGCGTTAATGAAGTTGAATAGTCTTTTCATGGCTCCGGGTTTTTCTATTTCTTCTATCGGTTCGTTCGCAGCGTCAGCCGCTTCCTGAAGAGCGTGTAGAGACACATAGGACATTAGATTGCTATGGAATTCGTTCATCCGGCTGATCAGATCCTCTCCACAGGGAATATTATCCGGATCCTCTTCGAAGTCCATGTTCTTGAAGCTTAAGATAGCATTCATCTGTTCTCGGGGCGGACATCTGAACTCCCTGGTCTTTTTGGCTGCGACCGCTGATGGCAAATCGGACTGTTTGATCTCGTTGTAACGACGAAGCTGATCGGACTGCAGATCACCGACGAAATCGTGGCTGAAGGCGATGATCGATTCAACGCGATGACGTAGCTGAATGTCATTGAGATGATGAAGTAAATAACACATCTGGAGTTTAGCTCCTTCGGCCATTTTCATGTGGAGCAATCCCTTCTTGTGCTCGTCTTTTCCTTCTGTAATTTATCGGTAACATTTTATTGCATATGGCAAATCTATGAAGCTAAGAGACATTTTAATCGCACCAGACGCACCTTTATCGAATGTTGAGTCCCAAGTTTCCGGATGAATCATGATGAGAAGCTTCATGACGTCCTCGTTCCTGAGCATCCCAACCAGCAGTAGCCTGTCAACGAGTTTCAAAAGCGGCCTGTAACGAATAAAAGTTGCATCAATGAATCTGCACACGATGGAGAGTTTGGAGCCGTAGCAATAAGCGGCGCTGTAATTATCCTGAAAGCGGCTTCTCCTTGACGTGTTATCGATGACGAAGACATTAATCATGCAGAATATAGGCCAGCCGTGCACGTATTCATAGTGTTACATACAGGAAGAGATTCTCATTGCTGCCACCGATAGGGTCTCGATTGTGTACTTGATTGACCTCGACGGCCTCGTTCAAGGCCTCCATCACGTAATCCCGTACGACGTCCAGGGGGAAATGCGGGCTGTAGAGGCTCCTTATGTTCTCGATCGTTTGATCGCTAGAAGGAATTTCTCTTCATGTCGACTATTAGTCATGGGGTTCACATCTAGTTTTGGATTAAGTTTACTTACCTAATATCCGTCATCTTCATTTGCGGTCGTACGGACTCGGTTTCTAGGTATCTGAGGCTGTGCCTCATTTCTTCGTTTTCGTACAAATCCTTTAATTCTTGACCTGTAAAAGAAGCGTGATCGGTCACGCAAAAGTCTCTATAAAAAAACAAATTTTGACACTTTCGTGACAATTGTAATACTTTTCAAGTTTAAAGACGTGAACCAATGATATACTGCTATATCTTTTAGTGTCTAACTGGGTCTCAATGGCATTGCACCATTCTTCATAATCCGAATAATTATAGTTCATAAAGAATTCTTTCTAATCACAAGTGATTAACAATGTTATATTTCAAAACCAGCGATTTTATTTTTCTTGCTTCTTGGGTCTTAGGCTGCTTTAGAATTTCTTGTCACGAATGTGTCAATGTGTTCAAGGAAGATATCTCACCTAAAGGAATGATATATTCGTTCTTGCACACTTCCATCGTCGTTGCATGCGATTCGAGATGCAGAGCGATCAGCAAGTCGTAGAATCCTTGTCGTAGGGGCCCGGACATGTATTCCGCTCGAATGGCGTATAACAATTGCTTCTGATCGACGTGTTGACATAGGGCGTGGGCAGCTCTGTAGTTCGACTGGTAGCAGAGGGCTGCGTAGAGTGTTAATGTGTGTGCGTGAAAACTGCAAAGTTAAAATAATTCAACGTCATTAATCCTAATCAAACGTCATTAACCCTTGTAGTATCTACCAGTCAAATTGGTCTTATTTGTTATATGATTATTAAAAATGAAGATTATCACATGAATACGAAAAAAATATCGCAACCGTTACTATCGGTTGTGTTCAAATCTCACCTGAGCAGTTTGTCCATTTCGATGAGTTCCAAGATATCGATGCACCTGTCCTCCTCAGGAATATGCAAAGCTAGCATTGAAATCGCGTCTTCGCATAACATGGACCAACCCCTTATGTCGGATAACTTCAAAGCGTGCACTTGGAGCGACTGATTGGGCACTCTGGCCCACTGATGAGGTTTCAGACACTGCACTTTCAATCTGGGTGGGAATTGCGGTATAACGTGACGCTCAGAATTCTGTAAAACGGCTGCAGACAGTGGCAACGTCGTGGAGGTTCTTCCGAGTTCGATTTGGAGGATCTCCTTGCTGGTGGCTTCCACAAAGATGGCCGGGAACAGTTTAGTGTCGGGTTCCATTTTGAATTTGTGGCTAGTTTCTTTGCCCTCGCATGTGAACGATACCCATCCAGTTGCCGTGTCCACGAAACAACCGACAAACATTCCCTGGGAAGCACCCTTGCCAGAGGCATCTTGTGTGACCTCATTGTAAAGCTCGTCTGCTCTGACCATGTAGCAACTTTGTCTGTCGACTCTGTAATAAAAGTATTTATTAGGGTCTAAGATCGCTATCAGAAGAGTTAAGGGACTAGGAAATACAGGTAGGGCACTACGGTCGTTAAGGCAGAGACAGTTCAGCTGATGGATTGGAATGTTCGGTTCGTTTTATCCTAGGTTACTATAAATATTTTGGATTTAACTTATGTATATCGAAACAAAGAGAGAATTGAAATAAGGGATGGACTATTTACTGGTACACATTCTTATATCTTTTGTGTAGACATTTGATAGATTTGTACGTACTGTTCCTCGGGACGGTCATAATCGTCGGTCACAACCACCGATGCCTTTCTCACGCGAGACAAATTGAAGTCCTTCGTGTGCAGGTGATACTGAGACGTGACCCAGCCAACATAAACGTGAGTTGGATCCTGTCCAGGAAAAATCCTCACGCCGTAGAAGTATTCGTTCATCAGCTTCAGACAGTCCGCGTCGTATATTTCGTTTCCAATTGCCTCGATGCCAGATCCACTTAGAACGGACATCGCCTTCGGTGCGTTGCGCTCTGGTATTTGTGGTGGTATCACCTTCAAATCCGTCTGCGAGCAAAAGCAAGACAACTTAATTTCTGTCCTTCGAAGGCGAGTCGGAATTTTTGGAAGCATTCCTCTGGCAGGATCCGAATCGATAAACAAACAAATAAATAAAAGATTTTACATTTGATATGCGAACTTGGGGGGGCCGGCTACTTGCTTTGTTCATCGATAGGGTCTTCGTACTCTTGTCGGAGACGTCGGACCGTACCGCTGGTTCGGGCGTCTTCGATTTGGCCTCCGGAGACTTCGCTTTACGCGAAAAGAACCTACGATAGACGTAATAAGGTTATTTTCTGTGATGATTGCTTTGCGATAGGCAATGAGGATGGTTATACAGATTGTATTGTAACATTTGGGAACCACTTCTGCTGTGTGTGAGATGTTATGAAATAGTTTAACACGATGATTTCACAAGTTAAGTTATTCAAGTTTGAACTATTAAAAAAATTTAGTTCTGTGGAATAAGGATTGTTAGTTGAACTTACTTTCCATCCTCCGTCTCTTTGCTATGTTCGCTAAGAAGGCGCACATATCAGAATCCTTTCACCGTAAGATTAATCCATTAAAAAAATTGATCAATCTACTTATACTAACCGGAATGGCGAACGCCCTCGTTTTTTCTTGTCGTCTTTCACGTCTCCGTTCATGTCGCCGTAACCGTTCATGTCTACCTCGCTGATCGCGTTCTCCATGTTTCCAGTTCGTGATCCATAAAGGGAACCTTTTCTGGGAGGTCTCATAGGCTTGTTCCTCTGCATTGGAAGTGGCGATTCTTTCATCATTTCGTCTGCTTCCACTGCATCCTCTGAGTAGTTCCTTTGCAACCCTAATTTAACAAATATGTTAAACCATTAATTTCCTGGATTGTAAGACACTCCAAAGTATGTTTACTGCTAAACATTGCCTTTTGTAGCTTTTTAAAATTATTTTTACTATTAAACTGTTGATACCTTGCAAGTGAAACAAATTAATTTAATTTAAATTTCAGAATGTATTGTCAAAGTAGCAAGAAATACAAGAAAATAGAGATTGTAGGTTTTGGATTATCATCAAAGTTAATTAAACCTTAGTTTAAATTGAATACCAGTACTCTGTTATATTAACATTCACAGGCTCGAAAATAGTGAGTCAAGAAACTAAGAAAATTTTGTAATATAGTAAGTGAACTTTATACCTTTGATGTCGCTCATGCTAAAACCAGACTTCATAATTTGCTCCATTTGAGCCGAGGGCGCGGCTTGTTGGGCTTGCTCCACCTGTTCACACAACAGCCGATTCTGGCGCATCTTGATCTCCTGCCACCTTCGTAATTTCTCGCTTTCCGAGACAAAAGTAGACTGACAGATAACGGGCAGTGACAGTCGAAGAAATTCCCAATTCGCTTTCTCCATAGTCTCGAACGTGTTATGGGAGATTTTTAGACAGGGCGGGGTGTCGGACCCTGCTGGGATCCTGGCGACATCTATCCTAGTGTCGGCCATGTCGTCTGTGTTTTCGAAAATCGGCTGGTCCTTTGTGTACCAGTAAGTCACTAGGCGATTCATGTTTCTGGAAGATCAATGATTAAAGTTTGGTAATTAATTTTTGAGAATACAAAAGGATGCAGCGCGGTGGCTTAGAAAATAAACTCTAATATTATTGGTCAAAGTGTACACTTGGTCGAGCAATTTTTTTCAAGGAAATAAATAGTCACAGGAAGTTTTCTATTTCCTTTAGCAATAACAGTGACGCAATAAATTTTCAATTACTTACACACAGAAGGGTTCGTATCCTTCTTGTAGACCACATGTTGTAAAGAACTTTAGAGTGTTCACATCCTGTCCAAATGTTAATTTCGCCTTCTGTCCAACCCCAAGCGTGAAAGCTGGTACGAAACAGTCACCTTGCACATCGGCGAAAGATGTTTCGCCGCCGAGTGCGTCCATTAACAATTCTCCGTTCAGAGAAAAGCCTGGATAATATTATATTTATTAACAAAAGCATTAATCAAATCCCTGCTTATATAATATTACAAATAACTAAATTTATAGAAATTGATTATATCTAGACTGGGCAAACGGTTATTTTTTAACATTTAGCGATTTAGAAAAATTCACTGTCACAGCACTGAAGCGCCAAGGAACTTTGTTAATTGCAATTATCATCGAGCAACGATCGCCAAGACACATAGACACAATACACCTACATAAAGCTATGCAAAGCGAGTGCGAAAATTATTCGAGTAGAGTGTTACGCATGCAGATAGAAGTAATGTTAAAGAGTAAAAAAAATACATAAATAACATGGTTCTGTTGTTGGGATATCTTGTTTTAAAAAAAAGGTAAATAAATTTTATGGAAGAACGAACAATACAGGTAGAAGGGTTAATATTGATGCAGTCTGGAATGATTTTGCAACGCTGTTTGTTGACGCTTTTAGGGTTATTGGGCGTTCCCCAAACGTTGTACAATGTTAAGTTTGATTTGGAAAATGTTTTCGAGCGCATGACAATTTTAATTTGTGGCCAGCTTTGGTTAGTAAACGTGAATCGTATGAATTACTTAAGCGCTGGTCTCGCTGACGTTACAATACCGAGTAGAATACTGGATACCAAAAAAAGACAAGAGAAAACGTGACTTGCGAGTTCGTACGAGTATGATTTTATTAACAATGGATAGTCACTAGGTGTTTTGTGCAATGGAACTCCAACATATACGAAAGCGTTGCTGCGATTACGTGACAGGGTGGGACAATAATCGACCACAATGTGTATTTTGCTCGTTTTGCGGAAGCAATTGAATCAGAGTGTATCCTTTTGTTGGGCGTTGAAGCAAACAACACTCATCTCGACTGGACGAAACAGGATCAACTAATTAATACCGAGTACAAATATGGTTTTCGTGACACTGACAGGAAATATGATTAATAACAGAACAATGTAGGTAACTTAATGTATCCAATTGTGTAATCATAAGTTTGTCTGACGTTCAATTTTCGTTTGCATGTAAAATGTTGTAACTATGTTTACAGTTCCTGTATCCAGTAGTCTATCTCTCAGATCAAACTGTACGTGAATGTAGCTTAAAATGGCAGCTGAAGCGTTCGCTTAAAGATTCCGTCTTACTAATCGTTCGGTCAATTAGATCCAGGAATACACCGACAACGTCTCCAACCTGCCATTGTTTGCCAAATGTTTCGGTTGTTCCCGAGTATACTTTTTCCTCCTTTAAAATAAAATTTCACCAATTCAACAAGTTTTATACGGGACGTAAGATGCAAGACTTGTGGCGGTATACATTACGTTAAGCTACGATTTGGTCTAACGATATGCTATATCGTGTGTATGGCTCGCGAGTTCGAGATACGGACAATAGGGAGATAGGGGGACGAGGGGGGTGGGGGTCAGACATAGAACAATCAGTTGTAACACTTAATCGGTATACTGTACAAGTAGAAACGATCTCCACAGAATTACGACGACGTTGATATAGAAGTTAAGCCACACACTTTCGAATGAAATCCCCCATCGATTCCATTCGCCTCGGGTAGAGGCAAAGGGTGCGGATTGTAAAAAAAAAAAACAACCAAGTCAACATGAAAGAAACATATAGAGACAAAGACAACAATAGTGAACGAGAAAACTCCAAAAAAAAGAAAAGGTGGTGGACCGTCTAGATCGGCTGTTGAAAAATTGCTCTCTTACTGATCGTTCTGTCCGCGACGTCAATGAAACATCCAACTATGTCGCCAACTTGATATTTGTGGCCGAACGACTCGTGGCTACCGGCGTGTACTTTAGTCACCTGATATGTTCACGATTGTGTATCAATTATTTATGACCATTCATCATCACAATATGTGCTCGACGGTTGCACACCGCGAAACAATCACTTTACTAGTTTCATCTTACCATAAACTGACCGATAATGTTTCAATTAATTGTACGAGGTTAACGTCATAATTTTTTTATTTATTCGATTTCTAAATGTCTACTTCTTTGATTAGTGTTCGACACGATAACGCCGAGTAGGTGGAATTCTGAGGACTTACATTGTAACCATCGAACGCCCAAGTGTTCTCGTCGCTTCCCAGCATACTTCCAGGCATGCAATCGGCCTTCGCCCACCCTACGCGCATCGGACCTGCAGTTAGCACCTCGAATTCGAAGTACCACTTTCCGCTGGTCACTGCGTAGTGTTTCTCCACTCGATACGTCCTGAAGGATAATTGTCGTAATCTGCTGGCCTCCAGAAGTAGGGCTATAAGAGCAAGAAAGGTAGCTACAGAAGTATGCTACATTTTTTAACAGCCAAATAAAAATATTCAGTTGCACAACCTTCGTGCTGCTCTCCGGTAGGTGGTTCCAACATATACCCGTAAACCAGCAGGGTCCTAACGGTTTCGCTGGCTGTGTCGCGATTAGCTTTCTTGATGGCGTCGTCCACCTTTGGATAGGGTACCAAGTGTGGGCTCCTTCTCATTTCCGAATCTTCGTTCAGACCGTAAGTCCAACCCTGGCTGATCCTTTCCTTTGCCCACAAATTATGAGTATTCTCAGCTAGCTGATCTACCAGCTCCTCCATCTTCGGAGTAAGCGTGATGGCAGTCAGATCGAGAGGAGCTGGTTTGTATCCGCTGCTCTGTAAGAATGGTTCATTCGGTAGCCTGAGGGTCTTTATCCTGGACGGTGGCTTGTCCATGGTGATATAGTAGCCCAGGGCAAGAATAGTCTTCAGCGTCTGTACAGCCAGCTGAGTGTCGTAACGCTTCTCCGCGGCTGGTAACCGTTCGAACTGAACGATACACGGATGAATCTTCCGCAAGTCATCCCTATGCTCACCGAAGATCCAGCCAGCCTCGATCTTGTTCATGGCCCACATCTCGTGGATATTCTCGGCCAGTTTGTCTCTGATCTGCTCGACGTACGACGGTAAGTTGATCATAGACGTGTCAACCGGGGCAGGGACGAAAGCGGTGTCGTCCTCGACCAACCACGGGCCAGCCAAGACGACCTTGTTCATGTTTCCGAAGTAGAAGCAAGGATCCAGCGATAAGATCTGTTGCGGCAAGAGACTCTCTACGAGTGGTGAAAATTCCTCCGGTGGTTGGAACTTGAGGCGACCGTGGTCACCGCCCAAAAGGAATCTGCAGGATAATTTCGAGGAGCAACTGATGGCGGGAAAGAACATGCCGTCCAGATTGAAGTTCCTGAAGGATCCTAAGATAGGCGCTCCGTTGAAAGTGAACGTGATTATGGGAACGGTGAGATCTAGAGCGCATCCGATCACGTCGCTTTTTCTGATGTAAGGTTCCGTCGCGTTCAGAATTACTTGGGTTTTTCTGCCACCGGTCCATAGATTCGCGCCGTCGAAACTGAATGAATAGAGGTCGTCACCGACACCGTTTCCTCCCCATTTTTCGCCGCCACCAGGGTATGGCACGTAGCTTTACAGAAAATAGAGGATTTACAAGTACCTTCAATTTTCTATTCGAAGTACAAAGATCGAACGTTAACATACCCTGCGGTATTCGCCCAGCCGATCCTCAAATGGGGCATCATATGCGTTGTCTGCTCGATGTGATCGACAGTGACTTCGAAGTACCACTTTTGATAAAGCGCTGAACCTTCGACTCTACCGACGAATATGTTCGGTCTGACGCTGGCCACGTGGTCCACCAGTTGCGTTTGCAGGAGAAGATTCTTTCCTGGCAGAAGGAAGTCGCAGATATTGTTCTGTGACGAGCGTACCGCGACCCCGTTACCGACGCACAGTGAACAGAGAACGTCCAAGACTTTGGGATCCCTGCCGTGCTTCTCGAGTAGCGAGATGATGACTTTGATATGCTCGTCCTGTGGATAAAAGAAGCATAAATTCATGATTCCTATGGTTCATCGCTTTTAAAAGAGGTCGATTTGTAGAAGACGAAGGGAACTGACCATTGGACATGAAATCTTCATTCCTCTGATTAATAGAAGTTACCACATGTAAATCTAATGTGGAATTTAACTTGAAGTATTTACTTACTCGCATCATGTTTAAAGCTTCAGGCGAGTCGATAAGAACGCAGTGGAGTACGTCCAACATTCCAGTTCCCTCGCTGGAAGCCTGCGAGCCCAGTCGACTGAACAACCAATTCAGACGATTACTGTTGGCAAATTGAGCGCAGTTCGTGTGATTTCCTTTGATGATCGCGGCCAACAATTGGTACAAGTATCCGGATATTTGGTCCCATGCCTGCCCGCTCTCGTCCCCCGAAAGCGCCACCAGAAATCCCTGCGAAGTGATTACGTTGATCTTGTCGATGGCCTCCAGGATCAGATTCAGTATGCCTTCTTCTTGGAACAGGTCTTGACGGTTTCTCAGAGCTCGGAACCTGTTCTGTTTCTCCTCGTGTTCTGCGAACGGTGAATATCGTTTCATCATTAACGGTCCCGATGGCTATCGAGAAGGTACAAAGTAGGGTTTGATAATGGTACTTAATCAAAAGGAAGGTTCTTACCCATATCATCCTCGGGTTGAGCGAAATAATTAATCAAGTCTTCGAGACACATCACCATTTCGTTCAGATTCACATTTTGGAAGAACATAGACGCTCTTCTATTTACTTTCAGCGTTTCTCTGCCATCGGTTTGTAACTGGTCTGTACGGTTCCATCCAAGCCTCTACCATTTTTAATCGCAGGTTTTAATTGTGAACGGGTCCAGTACACCTGATCCTCTAGACACTCACGTGATAAACTGCGTGAACAAGCTGCTACATTTCCTGATCACGCGTGCCGTACGGGATTCTTCCTCTTGCGAACGGGAGAAGTCCAAACCGTCGTCCATTTTTCCTTCCTCGTGAAGAACCGCTTGTTTCTCCTCCACTTTACCGACGCCCTTCTTCTTCGTTTCGTACGACTACGTATCCAAGAAAAATCGTTACTCTGTCTGACCCCTTATCGTTCCAGCGACAACTGAATACCCTTTAATAATCACCTTGTACGAGACCCAGAGACATGTGGTAGCGTGCTGCATGATGACAGTCGAATCACCGTATTTGATAATCGGCAACGAGATCCTTGTCCTCGAGAACGATCTTTTGGTCGTCTTTCTCCTGTCGCAGCCAGAACGTCGACGTTTCGATCGTTCCTTCGTTCCTTCAAGGAGAAAGCGAATTCGATTATTGTACAGAATTATGCGCATCATATATTCGAAACGATCCTTGAACTTCTCTAAAAATAGGTATTCACCTATCGACCAGGTACAGTTCGTTGTTTTCTTTTACGCCAAGATAACGGCCGGTGGTCAGGTGTCTGATCCTCATCGGGTGCAGCCAATTTATAAATCCACCCGCCCATTTTGTTCGAGCCAGTTCGAGCCTCCACAAAGATCGCGCTTGGCTCATTACGCTGCCACCTTCGTAGATCACTATACTTTAAACGAAAACCGCCTTTAAGCGATAGAAGTACCTAGACATTGGCCTTTATCTCTCGATAATTCACTATTATTATACTACATGCAATCGTACAGTTAACATCTGGGTCCACTCAGTCCTGTATAATTCATGGTTACAAACTAATATATATAAACATTCCAAATTAACTTTCAATTATTAGGTTGACTGTCTTCGGCTCCGATTTTTATTCCCAACGATAATCTTCTCAATAGGATAATTTCTAATCTCTTCAGGTGAGAAACTTCTACGCTATACATCTGTAGCTGGGTCCAAACAGAAACAATATGGCTCGCCGAGAATTTAATAGACAATTATAATAATGACGAAGTTAAATTTGCAATAACGAACATGGAGTGCTATAGTAATTGATGATTGAATTGAAAAATGGTATGTGTCGAATGGAACGAAGGTAACAGAGTAACAATTAAAATTTACTTTTGGCTCGGTGACGTGCTCCATGACGATGGTATAGTGAGACATTCGTCACCGCCGTGGAAAAATCGCAGCACGTCGCCGCCGAACACATAACCGACGTACTTCATTCGGCTGATTCCAGTCCCATACGGTTGCACGGACCAATGGGTCACGTGGAACGAGGCATTCACCACCGACAAATCGTTCTCTTTGGTGGTATGCTGAAAATAATTTGATACATTGATCGACGACATGAAATCTTTGGCGCGGCGGGAACCTTGATAGATTACAGGCCAATGTGGTTGGGCCTCGGGAAAATGGCCAATAATACTTATATCGATTTTTTCATCGACAAGGCAAAGCTGGTTGCGAATGAATTTTACATTGGGTATGTTCGTGTATGATTTTATAATTGTTTACCAAGTATCTTTCGGTGGCCACGGATACTAGAATCAGATCGTCACCGACACGGACCTTCTCACCCTCGGATCTCTGTTTCGATGCTGGATGCACTGTCCACCAGCATGCCTCCCCTATTAGAATGGAGAACAGTGAAAATGAAATAAAAACGATAGTTTCAGGAAGTAACAGGTATTTCAAGTGAACAAAGTTTCGTTAGTCAACCTTGAGAATGTTGTTGCAGACCGACGTCGAAAGCCAACTTGTCGTTGGACGAACTGGTCGACAGACAAGCCAAATACTGTAAACAATAACAATGAGCAATTTTCTGCTATAAGAGAGTCATTAAGCGTAGTAGCGCCCGAAGTCTTACCATGTCGCTGTTCTGATGCCTCAACAATATAGCGTTACCGTACAACAACGTTCTGTGCCCTGATCCAGTACCTTTTCCCTA